TACATGTTTACATTAACACGTTATCGGCCCTCCTTCAAACCTTTCAGATGTTTGATCGTTCTTCAGAATTCTGAACTAATTCACAGAGAGTGCTATCACAGTGAAGTGAGTACAAGTTTATTTGGCTGCCTTGCTTCATAAACTAGTCAATTAAGTATTACTGATTATTAGTTTCCTATAAAATAGTGTTCATTTAAAATTGGCTAAATCTTGGACAAAGCAACCTAAGTAAAAACTAGTAGAGATGTTTCAAGAAGCTTTGAGAGGTAATATTTTCAAATATCAATGCTATGGATTAGATGAGATGACCAACATTACACAGTATCTAGGCCTAGTAATGGGTATATATGTGTATGTATGCATATAACCTTCAGATTACTTATCAGAAAAATGGTCTGCAAATACTGTAATTTATTTGGGGAAGTGAAGACTGCACACTCTTGTAGCTTTTAACTTGTTTTAAAAAAAATGAAATGAATTATTTTGAAAAGACCCCCTTCCTGCAGTTTTATATTTTAGAAAATCAGCTCTGTAATTTTCTTCATAGCTACATGACTGTTATTCAAGGTTACGAGTGGAAAGCTTGTTGTCTTCTAGATTTTATTGAACTACAGCTTCCAGCAGCCCTTTTCATTATTCATGTTGGAGAGCCTGTTGGGAATTGAAGATCATGAACGTCTGGAAGCCACAGGTCTCCGTCCTGTGTAGATTAGTACATTTCATTCTTATGTATGTTAGTCTTCTTTTTATTATCTTACTATCATAAAATCTGTGTTGACAGATAATTCTGTGAAAACCAGTAATAGACTAAATTTTATATTTGGGTGTTACGTGTTGCAGTAGTTCAGTGTTGTCCTGAACTGATCATTGGTGACATTTCTTGGCATATGGCTGGAAGTTTAGCTATTTCAGCACTCCCATTAAAGCATTTGTTTCTCCAGCACGTGAGTACATCATGTATGTTATCTAGAAGAGATTAATGTTTTGGACATTCAGCTGAAGGAAACTAAAAGGAGTGGATACAAGTATAGAAAGTGTCAAAATTATATGCAATTATTTGATACGACTAAAGAAAGGGAACATAATTTACTAGTTCTGAAGGCTCCGCAGTGGGCAACAGAACGTAGCCGTGGGAATGTAATACAGAGTGGCATCAGCACCGCCTGCCAAGAACTCAGACTAAAGTCTTTCTCGGCCTTGATTTGGAGAAGCCAGGGATTAGATCGGGAATTTTCTGCATACAGAGCAAAAACTCTGTCTGAGCTACAGCTCTGCCATTCCCTTGGAAGCTTTGGGAAGCATTCTGACAAACCAGAAGTGGAAATTGGTAAGTGTTTAAGAGTGGGGATGGGGGAAATGGATATTGAAGATGGACACCATTTTTGGAACATACTTTACTGTTACTCTGTTCGATCGTCCTCTTTCCTGCATCTGCTAATACAGTTTTTGCATTTCTTGAATTTTAACTTGTACAAAAGTTCTTGGGTAGGTAGAAATGAAAGTATCAGAGGATGGGTCTTTCCTAGTAGTTCTGGCGATTGAGTAAGCTGAGCAACAGCCAGGTGTACCAAGATAGGCCAGACCTTTGCTTATTGCTATACTAGGTCTACCCCCTTTTTTCCAGTGGGTATATCTGCTGCCTAAAACTGTCAGGAGTGGACATCCAAAAAGCTGTTCAGGTCCTAAAACAGTCTTAGAACAATCAGAGATTGGAAAGGAAAATAAAAGGATGCTCAATCCGGGCTAGGTGAAATCTGAGTGGCATTTTGAATTTTATTTTGGAAAGGAAGGTAGGAAATTTATAAAATATGTATGGAATACTGCTTAATCTAGCTTGCAGCTCACCTCTAGACTCTCTAGGTAAGACAACAAACTCTAGCATCTTCACCATAAATTACAGAAGATGAAAATATGCTAATTTCTGAATAGTTGTACACTTGGTTGCTCAGAAAAAGGAAAGTCCCATTCTGGATGAAACCGAAAGGGAAATGTGCAACCTTAATTTTATACTAGAACCTCTTCTGGTCTTTCATAAATTGCATTGCCCTTCGGTTGGCTTTAAACCCCACCACCACATTTCCCTTAAAACAAAAACTGCCTGCTAGGAGAAGGCTCTTAACAATACTGGGTTATTTTTCAAGGCTGAGTATAGCACACACTCCAGCAGGCCGCGTCCAGGGACAGATTTTATCAGCATGTACTCTCTTAGGAGAATATATGGTCACTTTTTGAGGGGGACAGGTCCCCCTTCATTTATATGTCTGTGCCCTTAGAAAAAGCATTTGTGCGGTATAAAAGGTATGCAGGAGAAACTCAGATGCACCTATGATAATTGAGGCATAAAATCATGAACACTGAAAGAACAATTTGTGCAGTCTGACGTTGTAGCAGTTGAAGAGTAAAGCGTTACAAAGAATTGAAAGCTGGGCCACAGAAGGATTTTGGAAAAACATGAGTTTGCAACTAACAGACTGTACAAGAAAGGTAAGCTCTCCAAATCTGAGTAAAGCTATTTATAAAATAATCCTGGTGTTAAATAAGAGTTCACTATGGCTACTTTGTTTTCTAGAACAGGAGCTGATGAATTTAAAAGTAGAATTAAATGTTCAGTGTGAACCATTTCCATCATTTCAAAATAAAATCGTTTTAGGATTGCTTACTATTTGTTAAAGGTCTGGTTTCTAAAGCTCAAATCTTTAATTTTCCATTTCCATAAAAGTGAGTGCAGATGTGGAACTAAAATCTATTGTGGCTGTGGAAAGAACATTTTAAAAGGCTGGTTATTGAGTATAATATACCATCAACAATTAAGATCTCTTTTAAGAAATAAACCCCAAGTTTAAAGCTGTAAGACAAGCTACTGGCAACTCTAGGAAGAACCACCTAAGATGATTTCAAAGATGGGGAGTCATATCGAAAGAGGCCTTTTCTCAGAGAACTGGCTCAAGCAGTACACTTTCAAGGTAAATACAACAGTGGGTTGTATTTCATCTGGAAACAAGTTGGCAATGCTTTTAGCAAAGGCGTAATGTGGCCCCTGTTCTTCTAGAACCCAGCCTGGCTACTGAACTGTCTATCGACCGTTTCCAGGTCAGACATAAAGCAGCCACAGCACAGCACGTCACATTGGTTAATCCTGGATGTTACCAGTAGACACAACCACACTTCTAGGTCATTTTCTTCCAGAGAAGGACCCAGTTGATGAACCAGCTGAAGCCAATAAAGTGCTCTTGGCTATTGCCTCAAACTGTTAAACCAAACCGAATGAATGCAGACTGCATGCCTCCTGCTGCTTCTGAGAGAGCGTAACCCTATTCAGAGAAAGAAGACCAGCCATCTCTGCAGGAGGTTAGTGAGAGACGATTTACCTGTTCAAGGAGCCATGTTATTTTTCCACAAGTTTCATGCATTGTATGCTTTATTATTTTCTCATTACTTTTCACTGGTGTATTCCAAATAACTAGCTAGACTGGTTTGGGTTGATTTGTTTTTGTACGTTCTCTTGATTGTCTTCTAGAAACACGGGTTATATTGGTTGATTATTTTCCAATTCTCAGGGAAAATGCTGATATTTAGGGAGAACTGGCATATTTTTGTTGATCAGTGATTTCACATCTGAGAACCTCAGGTGGATCTAACCTGGATTAGGCCTTTGGCTTAATTTCAGTGTATCAATAAACCCTTCTCTCTAGTTATCTGGTTTGCCTCAATTCTTCCAATTTTCCTTCCTGGGAAAAGTAAAAACAAACCCAAAAGCTAAAGCATAGTTGTCTGCCCTATAATCTCTGCAGATTAGATGGATGCAAAGAATTCATAAAGCACCTCTGTTATAGTATTTCTTTGTCCTCTGCTTATGCTTCTGTCATTCTAATGTCCTCCAACAATTGAACAGTTTTCAGACCAGTTTCAGCTTTCAGCAATATTTTTAAATTTTATTTTTTCACTTTTAACATTCTGTAAAATGACAAGGAAACAATATGAGACAACATCTAAGGATGGTATATTGCAAAAATCGGCCACAATTCCTGTTTATCACTAGATTTGTCAAAATTAGACCTATTACTAGTATTAACATAATACTGTATGCATAATCTTTCCAGATCTGATAAAAATGTGGTTCATCCCTCTGTGAATTTAATATTTGAATTTTATCAGTAATTTTTTCAAGAAGGGCAATTGACCATAACGTAGTGCACTGACTGTCCAATGATAAATTATCCAAGAATTTCCACTTTTAAGTAATTATTATATTTTTATTCCTAGAAATAAAATCAATAAGTTCCTTTTTGTTTAGGAGTTATCTTTCTTGAAAATAGGTAATAATCCCAATTCTAGAACACATTCTACTTTTTGCCTAGTTATTATTCTGAGTTCTTCTAATATTTTCTTCAAGAAAGACACCACCTTTTTGCAAGTCCCCACATATGAAAAAAATGTTCCCTTCTGATTATAGTCTCTTCAAAATTTTGATGAATATCTATGAGATATCTCTGTGATTCTAATTGGAGTTCTATACCAGAAAGTCACCTCTTCCTTTAGGTTGGGAAGGGTAACTATTAATTTCTCAAAAGTGGTTAAACACCAAGAGGCTGCCTTCTTTATACCCTCCTTATTCAATAAGAATTTGAGTTGGAGGCATGTTGGTCAAGATACTTGGCAACCTATTTGTAAGTCAATTTCTTCTTTACTCTGTGGTGTTCTATTATTCTAAGTCTCTTGCTCTATAGCATCTGAGATTTCTCCAAGTCTTAGTTTTTATTGATCTATCTTGATTATAGAATCCCAAGTATACAATTAAAGGTGTTAGGAGGAAGATAGGTGGAAACTCTAGGGTTATAGACGTACTAGATAACTCCTGGAAATTAGCAGCACTAAAAAGACTATATTTTTATATTGGCTTGTTTAAAAGAGATAAGTTTGAGAGATACAGTGGTGCTTAAAATTGAATTTTCAAAATTCCTGCATAAATATGACCTAAAACATGAGTAAAAACATTAATTTTCCTGAATAAATAAATCAAGTATAATGTTTCTCACTCATCTGCTTAACTGAGTTCTCTTTTTCTAGTTCTAGGTCTTGTGTACAGAACATAATCACGTTTTAGGTCATATTTATGCAGATATAAATGCACCACTGTAAGTCTATGATAGCACCAGGCATAGCAGATGAAACGTGCGCCATGCTGCATGCAGGTGTCCAGCTGTGATTTGGAACAAGTCCATGACAGATGTGACACCGTGAGGCATTTCTGATTAGTCTCTACTAATTCCTTTTGACGGCTTTCAAAGTACCGATCAGGGTATTGTTCTGGTTCTCTGGGAGGGCGGCCTTGCGCCTCGAGGCCCTTTGCTTGTGTTTCTCATCCAATGCACTCTACTTCCAAGAAGCTGTATGTGTGTGCTGCTTCCTGGAAGTTTCTCATCCAGCATTTTATACTTCTAGGAAGTTGTCCATGTGTGAAAGCTCAAGAGTGATGCCTACCTGGGAGGTTCCTAACCAGGAAAGCATTGTCCCCAAGCGGGATTGGATGTTTTCAGCTCAGTAGACAGCTGAGCATTGCGCCAGTTTGTTTCCACAAAAAGATGAGGACAATGGGCTTTCCCCTCGGACAAGGATTTAGGGGAGCCTTGAGCCCAAAGAGGCCAGAGGCTTGAGCGTGTGTCTCTGTGTGTTTTAAACAAGGGCGCAATCTGTTTTGCTGAATTTAGTAGCTGTAAGGGATGTGTGTGGGAAATAAGAGGGAATGGGCAATATTGGCTGGAGAATTATTCAGAGGGGATCTGGGTTTACGGAATACGCTGAGACATAAATTATGATTCACAGAGCAGAATGGCTAAAACATCCATCATACAAGCCTATTATTTAGAGTAGCTTTCGTCCAACGAGTTTAAGCATGGGTAAGCGAACCACAGTTTATTCAGTTAACCTACTTTTCTTGGTTTGCATGATGCTTTGAACCATAATCTTGATATACAAGCAGGCTTTCCACAAACACCAGCCTAAAATGCTGGCTTGTAGCCCATGCCTGGTGCAATCGCAGCTAATCCGAAAAGAACAGGAGAGGAGGCTCCATTGCCCTGTATACGTAGCACTCAAGATTGGTAGAAATCCACACTGTGGAGTTACACAACACTTTGGTGGTGGGGGGGGGGAGGAAGGGGGGAGGAACTGCGTATCATGGCTTTACCATTACTAGCAAAGGGAGGAATAAGTGCTTTTAGTGAACATTTGGCCTTCTGGAGGACACTCTACAGCACTTCCTCTAAGAGACTCTGCTTGAGAGATTCTGAAGCGTGGTGTATCCTGAACAGGACAAATGTGGATTTTATGTAACTCTTCGAGGGCTTCCCTTCGGTTCTGCCGCTAGCCAGCTGGCTTAACCTGGCTCTTCTCCGTCTAGTTTTATCGAGGCGAGGTAAGGAGGCGCATGCCGTGTTGCGCGGGGTGTGTGTGTGTCTGTGTGTGTGTGTGTGTGAGTGAGTGATAAAAGAAAGGGAAGTTTGCTGAAGCCCTCGGCAGGTCGCCCTTCCTTAACGAGAGGGAAGGGGCGAGCGGGCTCCGACACAGACCGCGCCCCCTTTAAGCCTGTCCGGGGGCAGCGTCTCCCTCGCTGCCTCAATTCGGGGCGGGGGGCGAAGGTGGGCCCGATTCCGCCCTCCTCCTCCGCG